CAAGGCTGGTTCTGTACCACTTAGGCCATTCCTCCAGTTCACCTGATGTTTGGATGAAGGCTTTGCCAGAATTACAACTGGCAGTAATACCTTTGGGTTCTTGAAAGAAGCTGTGACTGGAAGCTTGTCTATCTCTAATAGTACCAGTGAGTTCAGTGTAGAAGTATATTGCATGCACATTGTGCATCAGAGTGTTTGGAATTATTAATGAAAGAAGATAAAAATTGTAAGGATCAGCCGGGCGCTGGTGGCTCACGCCTGTAATCCTAGCTACTCAGGAGGCTGAGATCTGAGGATCGCGGTTCAAAGCCAGCCCGGGCAGGAAAGACTGTGAGACTCCTATCTCCAATAAACCACCAGAAAACCGGAAGTGGCGCTGTAGCTCAAGTTGGTAGAGCGCTTGCCTTGAGCTGAAGAGCTGAGGGACAGCACTCAGGCCCAGAGTTCAAGCCCCACGACCGACAAAAAAAAAAAAATTGTAAGGATCAGTTAATACAGAACATTGTAACTCTACACATATGTGGAAATGTATACAGAATCTCATGCTATTATAGGAAAGAATCAAGTCCATGAGAAGAATCCCAAGTGAGATATTAGGAGCAATAGTAGAACCATTCTAAAATGTCCCTTGGCCCAAATACTGATTGGGTAACCCAAAGGAAAGCCGACTTCCTCATTGTTGCCAAATGCTAAACCATATACTTAACCATGAAGATTTTTTTTCCAGATAAATACAAACTTTTCAGGGCCCTGTTCCCAAAAAAGTAGTGATTGGTAATAAGTAATATTGGTGAGAGGACTCTCATATTCTTTATTCTAAATAGATATTTGTAATTCTGTGACAGGAGATATTGCCATAAATTTTAAGTTCTTCCTAGCTAGAAGGGAAAAGAGTACATGAACTGTAGAAACTGGGTTTCATGGTACATGCTATTCGTCAAGTTGCTGAGTCACAGGTTGAAGGACATCTGGGCAACACTGACACCTTATCTTAAACAATGTAGAAAATATGTAGAAAGGAGAGAAACCATTTTATTCTGTGTATATATAAACTGTTTACATCATTCTAAACCATACTGACTTTTTTATTGCTACCTCCTCACTAACCTCCCTCCCTTTCTTTCCTTTCTTGAGACAGATCTTTTTTGAGACTCTTGCTATGTTAGCCCAGGGTAGCTTCACATATATTCTCTTCCTGTCTCAGCTTCCTGAATGCTGAGATTAACAGGAATGTGTCAGTACTTGCACCTAGTTCATGCCTTTTTAAAATTTTGGAAAACTCATCTCTGTAAGGCTAGTTGTGGCTGTGCAATATCTCTAATCCCAGCACTCAGGAGCCTGAAGTAGGAAGATGAGTCTTTTTTTTTTT